ATTTTGTTTTGTTTTTAGTGCATTTTGTTTTGTTTTTAGTGTATTTTGTTTGGAAGTCGGTTTTGTTTTTTTATTAAAAAGTTTATTTATCTCGTTATAATTAGACGATAGAATGAACTGTTACAGATACACATACTTTAGTGATTGGATGACTTCGTTATTGTTTTTTGCTGCAATGCGGGCGCTTAGGGAAAAGTAAGGGACGGATCCTTTGATACTAACGATTTTTCTTGTAGAGCAGGATTTCGAACTGGTCGGCCAGGTGATGGTCCAGCGCGCGGTCCACGCGCTGTACGGCCTCCTTCTCCGTCAGCTCGCCATACATCCAGCTGCACCTGCGATGCAGTCGCGCGTCAGCTCACCCTCGTCCTCCCCTCGCCATCCCCCCGCCCGCGCCACGGCACATTATACGTTAAGAGTCGACAACGAGCTTTGCTCAGGTATCCTCGAAAAAGTGATTTTCAATGAACGAATTGTCATTTTGAGTTTTGCCGCCTTCGCACAGAGTTACTGGACCGTGACCGCATAATAAACGTTAGGTATCGGGGAATGTTAAAGATTGAATCGTTGTCGAAAATAAGTGTCCTAAGAAAGCTGGCGCTTCCAGTAAGCTCACCTGCACGATTTCTGCATGACCTCGGCGCGGTTGTAGCCACTCATCTTGCAGAAGGTTTCGTTGCAGTACACGATAGGGTAGTCGACGATTTGCGCGTTGGCCAGCAGGAAGCTGCTGTCTGCTGCGCCAAGTTCGTATTAATCATTCATATTATGAACGTCACCCTTTACATAGAGTAGGCTCCAAGCATCTCAGTGGAGTTAGGATTTAAGCTTTGACTTAAAATGTTAATGATACTGACGTTGTGATGAGGACCGACGAATGATGTTTTCCAGGAATGTGTTTTGGGGGGCTACGAGCCCCCGGCGGCCGCCCGGCATGCCGGCGTTGCGTCACATGCCTCGCATGACCTGCCGAGACCTGCCGTGACCCGCCGAGACCTGTCGAAACCCGCCGAGTCCCGCCGACACTCCAAGAGACCGGCTGCGACTGAACGCCTTCTGCGACGTTGCACGAATTCCGCCCCCACTACCAATGTATCTTCAATTTCTTTGCCTTCACAGGAATCTAGTAAAGTTAAACATACAACTTAATTATTTTGTGTGGTAAATAATCATATGAGCGCTCTACTCCTGAACGTTCGGAGGCTAGTTAGGGAATCCCATGGACAGTTGTTATTTCGACCAATGGGCGACCACCTGTATCAGGTTGATAGATATGTACTATGTGGAGTTAAATATCTTTATTGTAAGTGCATTTCAACGTAAGTAGATAAGTCTATTACATCTAGTTATTACCTAATTATTAACACTAGTTACATTATTTGTAATATAAATATGCCTCTCAACGTATATGGGGGGTCAAATATGCGTAGAAACTCAGTTACAATTTGAGGACCGATTATATTTAACATATACATTATTGTTTTATGTTTCGCAGCTCACAGCTCTCGCGACTCGCGCGCTTGACAAACAGAATGTCCACTCTAGACGTGTCGGGCCGGCGCGCCGACCGCCGACCGCCGACCGCCGACGGACACAGGAGCGAGGCGAAGGCGACCGCCTGCCACACCCCCTCTCACCCCCCGCCGCCGCCCACCCTTCTGTTCGCCCCCGCGCCCTCCGCGCCCTACGCGTCCGCAAGGCCGCCGCTTTAATCACAAACGAATTCATATGGTTTCTTAAGATTCCGCGGCGTCAGAGCGAGTTTTTTTAAAACATAGTTAACGTTAAGATTAGTCGACTCGATTTAACTTTACCTCCAAGGAGCAGATAAAATATAATACAAACGTGCCATCTTTAGTAAACTGAAGTTAAGAGAGACAGTCCGCAGACCCCCTTTGTTTGCCTAAATAATGTGAATTCATAGGTAACAATCGTTTTTACCGTACTGGTCACCAATTCACGAGTACACCATATTAATTATGTGTTAATACAATTTAAGACTAGGCTTAAGTAAACCATGCCCTACTCCCGCCAGTTTAAAACCTTACTAAATCCCCCTCCGTGGCCAGCCTCGAGGTCTCCAGTGCAATATAAGGGGGTTCCGGGATCTCAGTGGAACGCACCGAGACTCACACCCTGCCCTAAACGTGAACTTAGGTAAACGTGAACACTTCGCGTCAATTTTTTTTTATAATTTATTACTCTACAAAAACAATCTATAAATATTTAGTAGTATAGTTTAGTAGCGAAATTTAATCATTTATAAAAGGTGTATTTTTAAAACTACCTCGCCAAGTTCTAAAACGCAAAACTATTGGTCGAAGCAAGCGATAGGCCGGGGTAATCAATTTTTAATTTTTGATAACTCTGAGAAACAACAGAGACTTTGTTGTTTGTTTGACAACACACCAGTCGCGATTTGGTAAAGAATATATATACTATATGTACTATAATATTATAAAGAGGAAAACTTTATTTGATTGTAATGAATAGGCTCAAAAACTACTCAACTGATTTTAAAAATTCTTTCACCGTTAGAAAGGTAATTTATTTTTGAGTAACATTGGCTACATTTTGTTCATTTCCTTTTTATTATCTTTAAATTTCACGCGGATGGAGTCGCGGGCAAAAGCTAGCCAGGTCCGATTTTAGTCCCTTTTCCTTTTCCCCCCTTTCTTAAGAAGTAAGGTAAATAAAAATCGATTCATTTTTATTATTCCTGGTACAAATAAGTGGTAATTAATACTATTCATTAATTTTTTTATTTTAAAGTTGGTTTTGATATCGTGTTTACAGTAAAATACTTCAAGAGTGTATTTCTATATAAACTAACGTAAATGAACTGTGTATTGACAACACAGCGACGCCATATTAGATAGGCCACTTGCTTCGACCAATAGTGTGCGTTTTAGAACTTAGGGAGGGAATTTGTAAAAATACACTTTTTAATGATTAAATTTTGCCATTAAATCACATTATATTTAAAAAAAAATTTTGCTGGAATGTTTTTATAGTAATAAAGTATACTTAAAAAAAGTTTGGTACAATATGGCGCCATATGCATATTGCCTATTTTCTCATGACAATTCCGGTCCAAGTAGAATCGTTAAAAAAAAAAATACACGCATATTCCCTATTGTGGATGTGTATGGGCAGCGGTTGCTTCTCCATTTTGGCGGATTAAGGTGGTCGTTTCCTCGTTTGTCACCTAATGTTATAAAATAAAAACAATAGATATCCCAGAATTCAATATATTCCCAAAATATCTTTTAATAATACCTAGTAATTTACAGGTATTATTAAAAGATATTTTGCTACAGCTAACTAGCTGTTCCCCACGACTTCGTCCGCGTGAAGTTTAAAAGTTCAAAACTTACGTTCGCCCCTTTATTCAACCTATCACCTAAAATATGACTTTGTAGTAATCTACGTAATAACAGAAATCTACTGATGCAAGATTCCAAATTTCTAAGCCCGGTAGCTGCCGGGTTAAGTCACAAGCTTTTGAGCTGATTTTTCGGTTACCCTTATTTTTGTGATCGCGATGTCTTCTAAACTATTAGTCCAATTTAAGGATAATTTTATTATACATTAAATTCTCCTGATAACAAACACAATAAAAGACCGCCGTAAATATCGTGCGTTTTTAATTCATTTTGTAAACAAAAAAGTGGTTATTGTAAGAAAGCCGTTAGAGATAGATATAATACATGCCCTCGCGGACATTTCTGTAGAACTTTTTGAGATCTACAATTCTTTTATATATCTCTAACGGTTTAGGCAGCGTAAGTCAAGTAAATTTAAACATTGTGATTTTTACCGCCGCGGTCTAGAAATATGTTGAGTATTAATAGTTCCTCGTCATTATTAATAATAAAGATATAGCCTATGATATTGAAACGAGTGAGAGGACTATTCGTGTCCGATATAACCCTTTCTAACAGTGACTTAGAGTTGCCAGATATCAATCCTTTCGTTATTTAAAGAAATACAATTGATTAAATTTGATGCAGTATAAGTATTTCCTTACAAAATGTTTCTAAATATTAATAATAATTTATTACCGACAATTTAAAGCAGTACTATTGTGGTATTGTTAGGAATAAAATTAGTAGAATTGGCGCAACTCTAGATCATCGGCATAAACGTCACGTCCCTAGCTGACAGCTGTCAATGTCACTAGAAGTATGGATAGGTTGGCGCGCATCGAGAGT